TGTCACCCTTGGTAGAGTGTTGTGGCATCATAGCTCACAGCAACCTCAAACTCTTAGGCTGAAATGATTTTCTTGCCTCAGCCTCCCAAATAGCTAGGACTATAGGTGCCCGTCACAAGCCCTGACTATTTATTTTGGAAACGGCATCTTGCTCTTGCTCTTGTTCTTGCTCAGGCTGGTCTGGAGTCCCTGAGCTCAGACCATTCACCCGCCTTGGCCTCTTGGAGTGGTAGGATTACAGGTGTGAGCCCAGCCTCAGATTATTCCATACTGAAGAACAATCTGCAACGTGTCGTCTTCAACTGGTGATAAAGGGTATCATTTGGACAATTGGTGAAACTTGAATATGGTCTACGGAGATTAGTTTTCTATTGATATTAATTCCTGATGTTGATGGTGGTACTGGGGATAGATAGGAAAATGCTCTTGTGTGTAGAAAATAACACCCAATGTACTTGTGGTGATGGATCATCAAGTTGGCAATTTACTCTCAAATAGTTTAGGGAAAACAAAGTTCTCTGTGCTGAACTTGAAATATTTGTTTATGAGATAGTTTCAAAAATAAAACTTAAAAATGTCCTGGGTTGGCACCTGCAGTACAGTGGTTACCACACCAGCCACATATACCGAGGGAGCAGGGTTTGAACCCGGCCCAGGACAGCTAAACAACAATGACAACTGCAACAAAAAAATAGCCAGGCCTTGTGGTGGGTGCCTGTAGTCCCCGCTACCTGGGAGGCTGAGGCAAGAGAATCTCTTAAGCCCAAGAGTTTGAGGTTGCTGTGAGCTGTGATGCCACAGCACTCTACTGAGAGTGACAAAAAGAAAAAAAAAATGTCCTGATGGGTGCAGTGGCTCAGACCTGTAATCCTAGCACTCTGGGAGGCCAAGGTTTGCTTGAGCCTAGGAGTTTGAGGCTACTGTGAACTATAATGACACCACTGCACTTTACCTGGGGCAACAGAGCGAGACCCTGTTTCAAAAAATAAAGTGAAGACCTCATTTCCTGACCCATCTCCCTCTCCTTCCTTCTCCCTACTTCTTGAGAGTTGTCCATACTCCAACACTTCCTCTCCCATTTGCTCTTTGCTCACTCCAAACAGCTTCCACTCCATCGCTGCTCCTGTCAAGGGCACTGATGACCTCCATACTGCTAAATCCAAAAGGCAATTTTCCGTTCTCATTTTGCCACATCAGCAGAATTGACAGCTGATTACTTAATCTTTCTTAAAACATTTTCTTCACTTACTTGCCAAGACCCCACATTCTTCCAGGACCACCTTTTCAGTCTCTTGCTGTTTCCTTCTCATTTCCTCTGACCTCTAAAGAATGGAGTATCTCCAGGGTCGGGGCTCAGATCTTTCCTCCTCTAACTCCTTTGGTGATCTCATCCAGTCCTCTGACTTTAAACAACATCCACATGCTGATCACTTACTAATTTATATTTCCAGCCCAGGCCTCTTTTCTGAACCTTATGGACTTTTATAGCTAACTGCTCACTGCATGCCCATTTTCCCTTGGATGTTGTCCAACAGACATCTCAAATTTAACACAGCCAACGTGTAGCTCCTGACTTTCTGCCCTCCTCCACGTCTGCTCTACCCAGCTTTCCCATACCAGTAAATGGTACTTCACTCTTCCACTTGCTCCAGAACCCTCACAGCTATTCTTGACTCTCCTCCTCTCTTCACATCAATTACTTAGCAAATCCTGTTGTCCATACTGGTCCCACCTACTTCACCACCATCTCTTGCTGAGGTTCCCGCAGAGGCTTCCTGATTCTATATTTGCTCTCTACAGTCTCTTCTCGTCACTGTCCAACAGTTTCCCATTTCTACCTGAGTCCTTAGACAGGGCTGTAAGACCCTACATGAACTCTACCAAATTGGCTAAGAGGAAGAAGTTTGATAATGATTTGGAAGATGTGGGAGACAGTTCCACTCATATATTGTTGGTGGTAGTATAATTGATTAATGTCTACAAAAAATTATGTATATAAAATGTATGTTAAAAACGCTTGGGCTCAAGCAATTCCCCTGCCTCAGCCTCCCAATATGGGACTACGGGCACACACCACCATGTATGGCTAAGTTTTCTATTTTTAGTAGAGATGGGGGGGGGGTCTCTCTCTGGGCTCATGCTGGTTTCAAACTCCCAACCTCAGTTGATCCTCTTGCCCTTGGCCTCTCAGAGTACTAGGATTACAGGTGAGAACCACTGAGCCCAGCTGATAATACTTAAAAGGTTTAAGGGTAAGTTCTTCCCTACCCTAAGATCATAGAAATGCTTACCCACATTTACTTAAAATTCAGGTAGCCTTTAAAAATATTCATATGCTGTAATTAACTCACACACGATTACAGAATGAGGGTACATATCTAGAGTTTACTACAAAGCATAATTGTTTCTTTTTTAAAGAGCCTTGCTTTGTTGCCAAGGCTGGAGTGCAGTGGCATAATCAAAACTCACTGCAGCCTCCAACTCCTGGGCTCAAGTGATCTCCAATCCAGCCTCCTGAGTGGCTGGGATTGTAAGTGCACACCACTAAATGCAAAGAAGGAATGAAACTTCTCTGACAAAACTAGAGCAGAACTGGCCATGGTGGTGCGCACCTGTAGTCCCAGCTGCTTGAGAGGCTGAGGCAGGAGGATCATTTGAACCTAGAAGTTTGAATTTAGCCTGAGCAACAAAGTGTAATCTGTCCCCAAATGAAACAAAATCCAGACCCAGTGGCTAAGACTCTTGACTTCCACTCAGTGCTTGCAAGCCCCACCCAATAGGTATGATCCACAGGCCAAAAAGAGAAGAGGAGATTAAAGTCAAAGAAGAAGAAAGCAAAGCTACCCCAAAAGGAACCCATCACTTCTCAGCCTTGAGCAATCATCAGTGTTTCTGAGTCGCAGTGTTTTCATCTGGAGACAAAGATGCTGCTTCCTTGGCAGGGCTGTGGTGAGAGTTAGGAGTCTTGAGGCTGGTCAATATGGTTATTTTTTATTATTTTATTTTTATTTACTTATTTTTAGACATAGTTTCATTCTGTTGCCCTGGGTAGAGTACCAAGGTTTCATAGCTCACAGCAACCCTCAAACTCCTGGGCTCAAGTGATGCTCCTGCCTCAGTTTTTCTATTTTTGGTAGAGACAGAGTTTTGGTCTTGCTCAGGCTGGTCTTGAACTCTTGAACTCAAGCTATCCACCTGCCTTGGCCTCTCAGAGTGCTAGGATTACAGGCATGAGCTACTGTGCCTGGCCTGTATTTATTTTTTGAGAGTCTCTGTTGCTCAGACTGGAGTGCAGTGGCATCATCATAGTTCACTTCAGTCTACATCTTCTGGCCTCAAACCATCCTTCCTGCCCCATTCTCCCAAAGTACTAGGATTACAGGCATGTAACACCTTGCCTGGCTGGTAGGTGTTTATTTTAATGAGGGAGTTATTTCACTGCTCCCAGGGTGCACCCAGGGCCTAGACAAACACTGCCAGGAGGAGCTGACAATCCCCCTACCTCCAATTCTCTTTGGTCTGGTCAGAGTACAGGACTGAAGTCCAGTGGACTAAGTGAGTTTTGAAGGGGCTTGGCAATAATTCCTGTCCAGGCATCCCTGACTCTGGCTCAGCTAGTCTGTGGTGCCAACACAGAGGGGACATGTTGACTTTGTGTCTACTATAGGGCCTCCACTTCCCACACAAGAACTGTCTAGAGTCCTAGCCACAAGACCAGGGGTCTCAAGCATCCATGATGCCTAGGTGGCCTTCAGAGTTGTATGTTATGGGGAGGTGGCAAGTGTAGGCTGTGTCAGGTGGGTGCACTGGACAAGTTATGCAATATCTTGGAGCCCAGGCAGGAAGGCAGCCTTCCTAGGCCCCACCTGGCTGGCCAGTATGAGCTGGGCTGAGGGCCATGACCACCCATGGCTTCCTCAAGCCATGCAGAGAATCCAAAATAAGCCCTAGAAGCCCGGACCCATCCCCACAGTCTCATTTCTGCCCTCTCTTTCCTAAACTAAGACTTTCAGAGCCAAAGGAACGTCTAGTTGAAATGGGAGGTAGAGGCTCGGCGCCTGTGGCTCAAGCGGCTAAGGCACCAGCCACATACACCTAAGGTGGCGGGTTCAAATCCCCAGCCTGGGCCCACCAAACAACAATGATGGCTGCAACCAAAAAAAAAAAAAAAAAAAAGGGCCGGGCGTTGTGGCGGGCGCCTGTGGTCCCAGCTACTTGGGAGGCAGAGGCAGGAGACTCGCTTGAGCCCAAGAGTTGGAGGTTGCTGTGAGCTGTGATGCCATGGCCCTCTACCCAGGGGGATAGCTTGAGGCTCCGTCTAAAAAAAAAAAAAAAAAAAGAAATGGGAGGTAGAAATAGAGACAAAAGGAATTGGGGAAAGCCCAACGTTTGAAGAGATTAGAAGGTGGCAACAGGAGGCTACAGATAGTTAACTGTATCTGCCCCCCAGACCCTGAAGCTCAAAGTTGCCTGTCCCATCCCACCAGGTCTGTGCAAGGCTTGAGTGTGTTATAGTCGTCCCCTCCACCTCGCTCTCCAAGGGGTTGTCCTTCTGCCTGCCCAAGCCCGAGTACCACTCCAGGCCGATGTAGGCCCCTCTTCCCTACCCCTGTGACCTTCTATGGTGACTCCAACCAGCTCACCTGACAAGGGAACTCGGGGCCCTTCAATCTAGTGCCCATGTGGTCTCCATGCACCCATCTATCCCTGAGTTCTTCCACACAACAAACCAAGTCAGGACAGAGCAGGGCCCCCACAATTTATTAGGGATACGGCAGAAGCAGAGGCAGCAGCAGAGCAGCCGCATTAACAACAGATAAATTAACCGCAGCGCAGGGATGGGGCAGGGACCTGGCCAGGTGCTTTAATATAAAAAAAAAAAACGAAAAAGACTGACGGACAGACCCCAAAGACATGGGGCAGGGGAGGGCAGCACCATCCAGACAGCAGGGAGGACCAGGGCAGAGAGAGAAGGCAACTTGTCCCCCGCCTCCCAAACTCCACCAGCACGGGGCCTCCAGAGTGGCCCTGTGGGGCTTCGGGGCAGAGATGGCACAGTTGGTGGGCAGGAAGCCCAGCACCACAAGATGGCTCAGCCTGAAGTAGGAGCTGGCAGGCTGGGACACAGTAGCTTTAAGCCTCCAGCCCCTCAAAGGAGAAGCTTTAGTCTGGGTGAGAGAAGGGACCAAGGGTTGGGTCTCTCCCTGAGCTGAGCACGGTCATCTCATCCACAGCAGCGGTGAGCAGTGGGGTGTGCCAGGGGCCCCCTCGCCTTCTTGTCCACCTTCCTCCTTGGTCCCTCCATGGAGGGGCCCCTCTGGCTCTGAGATGGTGGGGTGTGAAGAGCTGGTCCAGTTGTGGTCCCCAACTCCAGAGGGGTCAGTGGTGTGGTGTAGCCCCTCAGCCCTGACTCCCACAGGAGGACAGTGAGTCATACAGTGAGTCACTGAGCGACTCTGAGGTCTCCAGCCCTGGAGGGCCTCCACTGGCCACTCTGCCTTCTTCGCCCATGTCTGACGTGCTAGGGGTACGGCTACCTCCAAACACTGGGCCCTGGGGTGTAGGGGATGGGCGGCTGGGCTCCTGGCTCTGCTTCCGGTCCATGGGCAGGGCCTGGGGAAGAGCAGGCAGCTTAGGAGGAGGCTCCTTTCCACCTCCTGGCCCAGCTGAGAGGTCCTGGGCCTGAGGGGCATTCTGCCCACTGATGGGGGAGAAAAGGGGTTCCCCCAAGAGAGGTATATGAGCAGGGCCAGTTGGTGGCCTGTAGCAGGGAGATCCCTCAGTGGGCAGCCCTGGACTGAGACTGCAAGACACAGGCATGCCTCCCTGCGGAAGCTGGCTCCCCACATCCCTCTCTCCTGTCCCCAAGTCCTATTCTCACCATGGGGTTTTTGGGCAGCCCCTCCAACTGTCGGGGTGGGCATAGGAAAGGGTCCGAGGAGCTGCCAGCCGCCCTTGTGTTGGGGAAGGTCCAGTTCTTGGCCAGCTGGACAGGATGAGGAGGGCCTGGATCCTCACAGGAATCTGTCCAGAAACAAGGGGAAGGTGGATGAAGCTGTCCAGGTCCCAGGGATGTCCCACCCTCCCACCTGAACACTCACCATCAGGACAGGTTTGATGGCCTCGGTGGCCCGGAGTGGCAGTGAGCAGTGCAGGGAAGGCTGGCATGCTGGGGTGCCGCCCGCTCACTAGCAGCTCCTCTATGCCTGGCACCTCCCGCTCCAGCGTGTGAGCACGGCGGGGGACTTTGGTAAGGGGTGGGGGCCGAGCTGGGGGCACCCCAGGTGGGGGCTCTAGCCGTGGTGGCTTGCTTTTGGGAGGATTCTTGCTGGGGGTCCCACTACTGCCATGGTCTGGGGGTGGGAAGGTCCCAATGCCACTGTCCAAGGTTCGAGTCAAGGAGCCACAGGCTGGGGAGAGGAAGGGCATGTCAAAGGTGAGGCTGGTCAGCCCCTTTGCCCTCCTCCTGCAGCTTCCCGCCTGCAAGGCTGTACCCTACTCCGGATGCTGCTGGCTACACAGGCCCCCCTGAGAGTAGGGAGGAGACCGGCTCCTATGCAGCTGCAGTGCCTGTGGCTCAGAGCCTGGCACCTGCTCTAGTGACAGGAAGAATGGAGTCGGCAGAGGGTGAGGAGCAGACCCCATTCTCAGCCCCTGGGCCCTGCTGACCTGTGAAGTGGGAGGCGGGCACTGGCTCGGCCAGGCTTTCCTCTGAGGGCATCTCTTCCCGCCTCCCTGGCTCGATGCTGGGCTGTGGGGGTACAGGAGACTTCAGAGTCCATTTCCATCTTATCCCAGACCCTCCCATGCCTCTGGGGAGTAGGAATATAGGTATGGGAGTGTGGGGTAGCAGCATTAGGGCTCCTGGAGAATGGGTCTGAGTCCCTGCAGACTCCTGGCCCTGAGGAAGCCTCTCTCCCCTCCCTTGTCCCCCCCGATGGAGACCAGGAGTGCATCCAGCAGCTTCCAGGCCCCAGGGAAGGGGAGCCATCCAGGGGGTAAGAGAACTGACAGGGCCAGAGAGCCAGGCACCTCTACCCTGACCTTGCCCCCAAAACTTACCTTTCCAGGAGGTTTTCCACAGCCCTGAAGAGGGCCCACCAGGCCATTTCTGGGCCCACAGGCTGGCCAGGAACTCTTAGGGTCAGTGGATACTGGCTGTAAATCTCCATACTCAGGTTTGGGCTCCCGCCAGCTCTTGGGTGGCAAGTCCTTGCCATCCACCCTAGGGGCAATGTGCAGACAGAGGTGAGGGAGGCCCAGGGCCCCCACCTTGCCACATTCCAGCCCTGCACCCTCCAATGGTGCTGGGCCTAGGGACATACTCATTGCCACCCTACCCTGGGGAAGGGGACAAATTGCTGGTGGTTGTTCCCATCAACCCCTCCTGATACTGGCAATAGGCAGGAACCCTGGGAAAACGCCAAAGGAACAGCAGAAGTAGGGAGAAGGTGGGAGAATGCCCCTAAAATACCCAGTATCAAGCCTAGGGACTACTCAACGGTGTTTATAAGTAGACATTCAGGCCTGGTCAGAGCCAGGTTCAGGGGCAATACACCCTGCTCCAGCTGAACTTCTGAGCATACTTACTGTCCAGACCACACACCCTACCTGAGGCCCAGTTCCTGTGCACCTTCTGCCTTATCTGGCCCAGACAGTGCAACCCCAAGATGGGTGAGTTCCTTCGCTAAACCACAGCTCCTGTTCAGGTGCCAAAGGGCAAGATGGGAAAGGGGACCCTCCTTGTCCCTTTCCTGAAGATGACCTTCATCAAACCATAGGTAGGAACTAGCACTCACTTAACTACCGTACACAGGTACCTTTAACAAGCTACCTCATTTGATATGGAGATAATCCAGGAAGTTAGGGACAACTGACTCTTCTCAAATGGCACTGGGTCTTAGCAAGCCTGATGCCTAACATCTGACATCAGATGCTAGCAAGGAAGGGAGCTGCGATATAGACTCAGACTTTTGATTCAAGCCCTGGATCTTTCTTTCAGGTCCTAAGATGCTTTGGTGGCATACTACCCCTTTAGACCTGTGAAGATCTCAGACTCTCAGGAAAGGCAGGCCCAACTCCAGACTTAGTTGTGCCAGAGAGGGAAAAGTGCCCCCAGCCCAGTAAGCACCTGCCGGCTGGTCTCAGACCCTCACCTGTTGAGCAGCTGTTGCATGAAGGTGTCTGCACCCTGGTACACACTGCCTAGCTGGCCCTGCACCTGCCCCAGCCCCAAGCTGGGTCCTGTAGCGGGGGCTCCGGGCCGGGGCCGGGCCCTGTTGCTCAGGTAAGCCTTCTCCTCCTCCAGCGCCCGGCGCAGGTCTTCTGCCTTGGCCATCAGCTTGGAGATGTTGAGGCTCTCGGCCTCTAGCTTCCGGGCTTCCATCTTTACCTCCCTTCGGAGTGGGGAGCCCCCACCAGCTCCTTCCTTGTTCTTGGTGGCCTCTGTGCGACGGTTCAGTGCTGGCAGCTTGCTCTTCTTAAGGCCAAACCAGCTGGCAATGCTGCTGGTGTTGCGGTGCTTGGCCTCAGTGCCTGGGGCCCGTTCTTGGCCCTGAAGCCGCAGCACATTCTCCTCAATGCCCTTCATCACCTTCTCCTCAATTGCTGAGTGTGGGGCCAGCCCCTCAGGGCCCTGGCTAGGGTCAGCAGGGCCAGGCAGTGGGGGTGTGGGCTGGGCAGTGGTGCCACCACAGTCTGCCCACAGTGGGCCCTTCCCCTTGTCAGCCTTGGAGGGCTCCTTGGTGACTGGGGGGGCCCCAGGTCGGGATACCACCTTGGTGGGAGACTTGGAAGGTAGCTTTGTAGGGCTGCTGTGAGGGCTCTTATTGTGCTTGCCCAGGCTGGGGGTTGAGGTCGGCACTTTGGCAGGGGTACGGGGTACCTGGGGGCACAGGGCCCCTGCCAGCCGGCTCTTGGCCAGCTCTACTTTGGTGAGGCAGCTCCTTGGTGAGACAGGCTCCAGGTCCACCCGGGCCCCCATGGAGTGGGAGGAGTAGACTCGGGCCCCAGGATCCCCACTGAGTCCAGGTTCCTGCTGCTTCAGGCTGTTTGTGCCTAAGGCCACCACCCCCCGCAGAGCCCCTTTAGTTTCTGGCTGCTCAGGGGGCCTGGGGGACACAGCATCTCCAGCATTCTCCCCTGAACGCCCTGGTGCCCGGGCCTTCTCAGTGCCAGGCTTGGCTGGCACTCCGTTCTTCTCTGGGCCGAGGGGCCCCTCAGGGCCTGTCTTCAGTTTCCCCAGGGCTGCCAGTCTGTCCCGCAGAGGTGTGTTGCCAGGATCCCCAGGTCGCCGCCCTGACCCCTGGCTAGGCTTCTTGGATGGGTTGCCTGGGGTCCTGCGACCAGGATGGGGAGACTCCAGGCCTGTCTTGTCCAAACCCTTCTCCTGGGGGCTCCCATAGGGATAGGATTCTGGGAGGCAGGGGCTTGGGGGGACTCCAGGACTTCTGAGGACCTCAGGGGCCTGCGGTACCTCCAGAGTCAGCTGTGGGTAGGTGGGCACCTGCAGTGGGGATGGAGGTGGCTCTGGCGAAGGGCTCATAAACGTGCTCCGGGAAAGGTCCAGGATATTCTCATAGCCGGGAGATACCACTGGTCCTGGGGACAGCGTGGTAGACAAGGCTGGTAGGGGTGGTTTGAGCTGTGCAGACTCTGGGATTGCAGAGCAGGGCAAAGGGCTAGTGGGTAGGCCCTGCACCCCCTCTGGGGACAGTTCTCCTCCACCCAGACCCCTGCGGGCCAGCAGTGGGGAGGGGCTGCCATCTGAGCCACTGTTCCGACAGGGGATTCGAGAGTTCCGTGGGAGCTGGGGACTTAGCTGAGGGCCTCCTGGGCTGGGGACCTTTTCTGAGGTGGGAGGCAGCTTTAGAAACTTGAGACCTCTGGCTGGAGAGGGCAGAAGAGGTCCCTGGGCTTCCCCAGGAGAAGGGGGGCCAATTTGGAGCTTGCTTTTCACCTGAGATGAATGGGGGTGGCCAGGCCGAGAGCCCAGTGGGGTATCCCCTGTACCCATAAACATGCTGAGAAAAGGGAGGGGCCCCTGGCCCTCTGAGGTAGCACCAAAGCCCAACCTCTGGGCCTCTGGGGTACCTCCACCCCAAGTTGACTTGGGGAGGCCTTTGGACTTGGTCAGCTGTGGGGGCCCCTGCTCTGGGGAAGATGACTGCCTAGGACCTGGGTGGTCCCCATTGAGTGGGCCTGCAGCCCCAGCCAGGAAGGCCTGTAGGTAAGACTCTGTGTCCTCAAGGAGCTGGCCCAGGTTCAACTGTTTGTGGGCCAGGGCCCCAAGCAGGGTGTCGGGGCTGGGTGCCTCATTGGGGTCACCGGCCTCATCAGAAGAGGAGGAAGAGCTGCTGCCTAGGGCACAGTGTGGGCCAGAGCTGGTGCCCTGGGCCTGGGGGGGTGCCCTGCTAGGGACCCAGGACTGCCCAGTACCCTCTTCACCTCCCAGACTCCCTAGGAGCCGCTCCCAGTGCAGCAAGCCTCCCAGGCCACCAGGGCCTAGCAGCAGATAGGGGGCCCAGGGTGAACGTTCAGGCTGGGGTGGGCCACACAGCTCGCCATTGATTGGCTCTGGTGAGCTAGGACCTTGGCCTGGAGGCTGCCAGGGAGTGACAGGGGAGCACAGAAGCAAGGGATCAGTCTCTTCCAGGGCTCTCAGCACTTCCAGGATCTGGGCTTTCTTCCGCAGGAACGGGGATAGAGCATCCAGCGCTGGGGGTAGTGCAGCTGGGGGGCCTGGGCCTCCTGGTCTCAGCTGCTGCTCCCAACACACCTTGGGAGAGAGACAGCATGAGGAGGAGACCATATGCAAGTGAGGTCCTGTCTCAAGCCTAGCCCCTGGGCTGGGCATAACTGCATGTGCCAGGATCAGAGCTGGTATGCTTGTACCAAAAGGAATTCATAGCAACTGGGTATGATGGCTCAGCTTCCTCAAGGGTTGCTCTTCTTCCTGGGCAGGCCTTTGGTAGGGTGGGCACCCCATACCTCTTTCTTGGCTATCCCAGCTACACACACACCCCAGCCCAGCTGTTTGGATTAGCAGGGCTGGCTGCCTACAACTCTTACCTCTGTGCTTGTCCCAGGGGAGAAAGGCCTAATTCAGGCTCCAGAAAGAACACTCAGGGAGAGGGTGTGATGTGGCCAAGCCCTAAGTCAGAGATTGCAGGCAAGCCCAGGACTTCTCAGGTCAGACAGCTGGCCCTGCTAAGCTGATCCCCAGCAGAAGAGGACCGGGGGTGACTGCATAAACCTTCCCTGCTGTGGCCCAGCCCCTTCTTGTGTATACTTCAGTCTGGTATAGTAGTTAGCTATACAGGCTCTGGAGTCAGACTGTACAAGTTCAAGTCCTGGTTCTACCTAGTTACATGACCTTCTGCAAATTATCTGACCTCTGGGCTACTTCATTATGTCATTTGTAAAATGGGACAGTAATTATGTTTAACTTCATAAAGTAAGACAAATGAGATCCTGGGTGTTCCACATGGCGCCTGGCATGGAGCGAGAGTTCAGTAAGTGTTAACCACGACTCTTACAGAATTACTAATGCATCGCTCACAGGGGCAGTGGGTGGGGGTGGGGGGGGGATCTGTTTCTCTTGGCTTGAGGCTGACTGCTGAGGGCTCACACCTCCAGCTTAGACAAGTCTGTGCACTGGGAAACAGCCCTTCCCCTGGGACCCAGCAGGAAACAGGAATGCCTTTCATTGCTACTGACCAGCCTCTAGCTGGCAAGGCCACAGACCACTGTGCCCAGCTCTCCTACCTCTCTTTGCCCAACACAGTGCCCCAGAGGCAGCGAGGTGGCTGGTCCCTCAGTGGAGCTCATGGAAGGGGAGGCTGGTGGTTCTGATGGTGGCTGGAGTGGGGTGAGTGGGATCTGGAGAGAGAGAGAGAGAGAGAGAAGCAAAGTTCACAAAGTAGCTGTCTGGCCCTGGGTCCCTGCTCCCTTACGAAGTCAGGCCCTCCCATCCAAGAGTGTTTCCTTAGGATCTCTCCTGGCCCACCTACCAGAAAGATGAGCCTCGGAAATATAACACAGCAAGATATAAAGATGGTGCAAGCCAGGGTACCAGGGAAGGGACTAGTCAGAGGGCTTTGGAGAAACAGGAAAGCCTGAGGCTTAGTGGGCAGTGGCAGGTCTACCCTGGGGTACCCATGCCAGCTCCAAGACTATGCTGCTTTTCTGTGGTTTTCCTCCCTATTACACAGAGGGATACTGCAAAGGTCCCTTCCAGCTCTGACTACCAGTCATGCAAGGACCCCAGGGAGGCTCCAACTATTGGTCTTAGATGTTCTTAGAAAGGAGATGACATTTCTAGTATCCCCTACTTGGTCCCATGTGAAACACTGACTCTGAGGATTGCATAAGTAGGATCTAATCATGGGCACTTCTTCTCAGTCCTCGAGAATGTAATTTCCTTCTCCCAGGCATCCCGACTAGATATGAGTCAGCGTTAACTTTTCCCTTTTCCTCTGTCTCTGCAGGCTTGAAATCCTGCCTTTGTAGCATCTCTCAGCCTCCTCTCTGTCTAGCTGCAGCCAGTTCCTACAACTTACCACATCTCCTACGTCTGGCCTGAATGCCCTCAGCAATCTAATCAGTCTCCTTAACCTGGTTTGGTGGCCTTTCAATCTTCCATGTTCAAGGCAGCCTAAAGCAACTTTTTTTCCTTGGCCATGAAAATGAATCTGAATGTGGCAGGCATCCTGGGCCTGCCCGCCAGTTCCTCCCCTGACACTGCTTCCCTCTTGCCATCTCCAGCTTGTACTCACTCACTGTCCCTTCACAGATCTTTTGCTCCTGCCAAGCAGAATGGCTTGCTGCTCCCTAGGCTTCCCTGCCCATGGATCTCTGCTTCTGCTGCTCCTCTCCCCAGCCCTTACACCACTCTTTTAAAATCTCCCCTTTGTCAAGGGCCAGGTCTGATGTCATCTCCTTACAGGAACCTTTCTTAGCCCTTCTCTGAAGACTTCTCCCCACTGCCCCTTGGATTCTTGGATGCTTTGTAGCTGCCTCAACTCCCAGCAGTCCCAGCCTTCCAGGGTCATGTTTTCCATAGGTCACAGTTCTTAGGCAGAACCCTGTGATTCAGTCCAATTCCACATGTGTTGGCAAAGGCACTGCTTACAATTCGAGCTTACTGTGCACTTGTGCAAAGGAGCTTTCATCCTAGCAAAGCACAACACTGAAACCACATTAATGACAAATAGCTGCCACTCACCGACTAGCCCCTGGTAATGTGCATGTAGCCAAGCACTACACAGTATCTCATTTAATCTGCACAACACCTGTAATATGGGTATGTCTATACCCATTTATAAGGAAAAAACTATGAAGTTAATAATTTTCCCAACGTCACCCAACTAGGAAGCATCTTTAAGTTAGGGATACCACCCAAGGCAGAGGTCCCAGAATTCATTTTGGCAAAGAATTAACACTTGAAGGATAGTCTGGAGGATCTCTAATCACTGACAAGTGTACAGTGGGGGGTTGGACTTGGCTGGTGTGGTCAGCCTCTGGGGATTCCAGGATGATCCCTGCAGCAAGGACAGATGTAGGGAAGGGAGGACTGCTGAGTCAGACCCTGCTCTGCACCTGCCTGGTAAGAAGGGGGCTCCAGAAAGCCATGGTGACAAGGGGCTTCCTTTGCAAGGGTCCAGGCTTCCAAGTGAATGGACAGGCTCCCTGCTTAGGGACCTGGAGCCCAGAGCTGCCTGGTTTGCTTCAGAAAGACAGATGAACGCACACACACACACACACACACACACACACACACACACATATACCCTACATAGAGTGCTTTTTTTCTTGTCAAAGTGAGAGGAAATGGCTGGAGACCTTGGGAACAACCCACTGCCCACCTTAGGCACCTGAGCTGCTCCTGGCCCTCCCCCTATGTCTTACCCCTCTGCAGGGGTTTCCAACAGAGTAACCTCAAGTGACTTCTTCACTAAGCCCAGGATTCATTCCCAATAGCCTCTGGGGAAGGCAGGGGTCAGGGTGAGTAGCAGAGACCATGTCTGTGAGCGTGTGTGGAGTTGGAACATACAACTGCTTGTGCACACAGTTATGAAGACGGCACTGCCTTTCCTGACCTCTCTGTGATACTCAGCCTCACCCCCGCCCATGGCCAAATACGGGCTGTGTCAGTGGCCAAAGAGGCCTCTTGGAAGCTTGAAATAATTTCATTTACAGCCTCCACCCATCTCCTCACCCAGGGCAGGAGCAAGTGCAAACCTTCTGTGTCAACAAACATGGGTACCATCCAGCTGGGCATGGGGGGGGCTGTCAAGCTTGAGGGGACCCAGGTAGTTTGCACCCCATCCAAGGTATAAACCTATCAGGCTGGGCAGGCCTTCTCTGGATGGCCACAGCCACCAGAATGGTAGGGCCACTAACTGCTTGTCTAGGTGAGGAAAGAAAAGAGAGTGATGCTAACAGGGTTGGGAAGGCAGGGCTATGAGAAGGAGGGAGAAGCCCAGTGCCCACCTGAGGGAGAGAGCCTGTTGTGAGCTGGAGTCTCTGCTGAAACAGGGCGCTCAGCATCTGGTTCTGCCGCTCCAGGTCGAACACTCTCTTCTTAAGCTTGATGCACTCCTCTCGAAGGTCCTGCGCCATGGGAGGAGAGGAGGAGAGTGGGAGAGGGACCACAGTATGAGCCAGTCCTCTTCATCCTGCCCAGAGGGTCCAGACCCCTGCTGGGCAGGCCTTTCTCCTGTAGCCTCCTTTTAAGAGTCTGTAGCTCTAGCACCTTCTGGGGGTGCCAAATTCTTTGTCACCTTCACCATCCCTGGAGCCAACCCCCTGCCTCTTAGAAGCCACACATCAAAGAAAGGCAGAGGAAGACCTTGTAGTCTAAGTGGCCTATATGTCAAGAAGTCATCCCTGTGTGTGTGTAAATATTTAGATACCACTATGCTCACATCATCAACTGCTGTAAGGGCCATCACAGCCTGGAGAAGCCATTTGGGGCCAGGATAAGGGAAAGATTCAAGCCCAAATCAGTTTTCTCACTGCTCAGAAACTTGGCCTTACCTAGTTTCACCCCTGCTTCCAGGTAGAACAGGGGTAAGTGGAGGCCAATAGGCCACCTTCTCCATGCCACTAGTGAAGGCTTAGCTGAGCAGGCTAAGCGCAGGGGTCCCCAGGAAGGACCTCTCCTGCTGTACCCAGGGCCTTTCCCCAGGGTGGCTGGGTTTAGGGGTAAGAATGTCACTTATGGCTACTCACCTTCTGGTTCAGCAGGGCCTGCACCACATGGTTGGCAACCTGGGGACAGAAAGTCCCCCAGGCAAAGTTGACCCACCTTCTACTTGGAGCAGACAGGCTATGAACCCCCCATTCTCTTCCCCAGCAATCCCACTTCAGACCCCACAGACCTCATCCAGACAGCGCTCGTAAGTCTCCCGTTGGTTTTCATTGGCCTGAGCAAGAGCCGAGTTCTCTGCCTGTAGGAGTGAGGGAGAAAAAGGGCAAAAAGAAGGCTTTGGGGATTATTCATCCCCAGGGCACACTCCTTCTGAGGAAAGAGTCTACTAGCCACACCCCTGCTCTTGCTCAAATAGGTTCTTCTGGGGAGGCCTGCAGAGGCTAAGCAGGGGCAGCAAGGGGGGCAAAGCTGAGTGGGCTGGGGAGGCAGTGGCCAGGAGGACCTGAGGTGGGAGATGGGAGGTGGGCAGAGGAGGATGGGGATGTGGGCAGGTCTTAAGGCTGTGGCGAGGGCCTTGATTTTAGGATCTGTGTCCTGTCCTTCAACACTTGAGCCTGGGTCATCCAACCCCTTCCACCTGTGGCTTATGACCACCCCCTTCTCCCCAGAGCTGGCAGGGATGAAAGTGTGGGAGCACCCCCCTTCTCCCCAGGGCTGGCAGGGATGAAAGTGTAGGAGAGTTAAAGGAGGGAGAGATTTGGGAGTTAGGACAGCATGCTCTGTGCCTGCTTTTTGTCCCTGAGCTGCCACCTGGGCTGGAGAGCTAAGAGTAAGGAAAGGGCTTCTCAGAGAAGCTCTGAAAAAACAGGCTCAGCTCTCCTCCAGCCTGGCAAATAGGCTGAGAAGAGGGCCCACCCGTACCCTCAAAGACATGCACTAAGCTGAGAGGGAAGGGTGGCTTTGGCTGGCACTGCCCCCGCCCCCCACTGCCCTGGGCCGCACCTCCAGCTCACGCAATCGGTGCAGAAGCTCCTGGCAGGTACCCGGCTCCATGTTGCCATCACCACCCTCTCCAGGACCCTCAGCCGGCTGGTCCATGGTCTCCGACATCAGGCCCTGGAACAAGTGAGAGAAGGCCCTGCAGGCTACTTCAAGGTATGGGAGGAGGTGAGGGGAGGAGGAGGACAAAGATGAAACATGTTAGCATTTGTGGAGTTTAGATCATGTGATCAGCATTTGTGGAGTTTGAGGCATGTGACCTACATGCATCATCACAGTGTAACAACTCAAGGTCAGGCTGGGAATCTTCTGCTCATGGAACAGATACTCTTCCCATCTTAAAAACAAAGATGATTGTTTTAAACCCCCCTACGCTCCCATCGTAGGTCATATACACACTTAGCAAGGAGCCAGGAAACCCAATTTCTCTGCTGGGATTAGCCTCAAACTGGTGATTCATTCAGCCTCCCCAAGCCTCAGTCTCCCCATTTGTATAATAACACCAATATCACCTAATCTCACTCAGTGTTTGTGAACAAAGATTTGGTCTGCAAAAGAAATGTGAATAAGTTACAAAAAACTATTTAGACTGTTATTATTCATAACAATAACATTATTATTCATTCGTTCATTCATTTAGAGACAGTCTCCCTCTGTTGCCCAGGGTGGAGTACAGTGGTGTCATAGCTCATAGAAACCTCAAATTCCTGGGTTCAAGTGTTCCTCCTGCTTCAAACTCCCAAGTAGCTGGGACTACAGGTGTACATCACCATGCCTGGTTAATTTTTTCTATTTTTAGTAGAGATGGGGTCTCACTCTTGCTCAGGCTGGTCTCTAATTGAGCTCAAGCAATCCACCCACCTTAGGCCTCCCAGAGTGCTAGGATTACAGGTGTGAGCCACAGTGCTTGGCCAATAATAATAATATAAACTAATTTAGCAACACAGACATCTAGGATTTTGTCCTAATGATCAGTGGTGTCCTTTCTAAGGCAGGGACATACGTGAGGTAGTGGAGACAATGAGTGTAACCCTGGCTTTGTAGCCAAAAAGCTCTATCCGGTTCTACCTAGGATGAGCTGAGTGAACAATGAAAACTTGCTTAGTACTTGGTCAACTGATCTTCGGTTTCCTAATGCTTTTCTTTTTCTTCTTTTTACTTGATAATGGTCCCAAAGTAGAAGAATAAGTTTCCTAATTCTGAGAAATGAGCAGAAGCATTCGTCCTTCCATATAGGGTCGAGGGAAGGATCAAATGTGACCACCTAAGGGATAGCACCCTGATACTGGGTTACAGATGTGCTGTCAACGTGACTTGGACACGTGTGGAAAATAGAACTGGGCCTAGAGCCCTGAGTTCCAGTCTGGGCTACACACCGTGTTTACTTGCTGGGTCACTTCAGGGTGAGGCCCCTGTCCCTGAGCCTCAGGCTCCTCTTAGACACAGTGGGGGGCACCTTGCATACCTCCAAGGCTCTCCCTTCTAGCTCCAGCTGCCCTAGGCACCCACCCACAGGAGGTAGGCCCTTGAGTACAAGCCTCATTGCAGTCTTTTTTTTTGGCTGGGGCTGGGTTTGAATCCATCACCTCTGGCATATGGGGCCAGCGCCCTACTCCTTTGAGCCACAGGCGCCGCCCAAGTACTAGCGTTTTTGTACATGCTAGTCCCTCTGCTGGGGTCTCTTGCTGCCACCACTCTTTCTTGGCTAGCTCCTTTCTAGTCATTCTTCAGGGCTCCCACTCCAAGCCTGGGTAAGGTGCTGTGCCTGTGAGGTTCTATACTGGTTTTCTCCACCAGGCAGTCCCTAGGCAGCACTCTGAGGGCAAGGACATTGCATTCACTGCATTCAAACTTATATAACTGCTGGGACCCCTGGCATGCAGGAGACAGACTGATGACTGAACAGACTACTTTCTGACCACATACAGTAGAGTCATGGCTCTGACCTGCCTCATACTATGTGATCCTCCCACCCCCACCAAATTTTGCCACTGTTCCTAGCTTTAACTGACTGGTCTTCATCTTCCGTTTGAGTTCCAACTTCTCTGCTAGAGGCTAGTGCTCATTTTGTTTTAAAAAAATAAGTAGGCTTGGCGCCTGTGGCTCAAGTCACTAAGGCACCAGCCACGTACACCTAAGGTGGTGGCGGGTTCGAATCCAGCCCCGGCCCACCAAACAACAATGACGGCTGCAACCAAAAAATAGCCAGGCATTGTGGCAGATGCCTGTGGTCCCAGCTACTTGGGAGGCTGAGGCAGGACACTCTCTTGAGCTCAGGAGTTGGAGGTTGCTGTGAGCTGGGATGCCACGGCACTCTACCCAGGGGCACAGCTTGAGGCTCTATCTCCAAAAAAAAAAAGAAAAAAGTAGAAACCTTATTGTGAAAGGGGTGTGGAGCTTTTGGACCACAAGGAGAGAGGGGCCCTCAGCAGCTCAGCTCCCAGGCATCTGAGCAGTCACTCCTCCATCCTCCAGAGTGGGCCCAGGGGTACCTCTCCCACCCCCAGTATGCATAGGCCCCAACATGTCTCACCTGTCTCTGTCCCCTCAGCCAGGTGGGCACACTCACCAGCACTCTAGCAGCCAGAAAGGTCACCTCACCTGTGGAGAAATAGGGAGATGATGTCAGTCATGGGTTCCACAAGCATTTATCAGGCTCCTGCCAGACACTGAGACACAGGGGAAACAAGTCAGAGACAGGCCTGCCTTTCTGAAGCTTCTACTCTACTGAGTGAGGCAGACAATATACAATGCTGGGTTCTGATAAGGTACTGGGAGATGACAATAAAGCAGAGAGCCAAGGAAAGAGCAAAGAAAAAAGCAAGTGCAAAGGACCCCAGTTCTCAGCCAGGAACCACTTGGATAGCAGATGGGAATGAACAGTCACATGTGATTCTTTATTACTCTTGCATAACATACAGTTTCCTTCTCTTTCTTTTCTTTTTTTCTCTGTTTTTTTTTTTTTTTTTTTTTTTTGGTGAGACAGTCTTACTACGTCACCCTCAGTAGAGTACTGTGGCATCACAGCTCACAGCAACCTCAAACTCTTGGGCTTAAGAGATTCTCCTGCCTCAGCCTCCCCAGTAGCTGGGACTATAGGCACCCACCACAATGCCCGGCTATTTTTTTGTTGCAGTTGTTATTGCTGTTTATCTGGCCCAGGCCGGTTCGGACCTGCCAGCCTGGGTGTATATGGCCAGCGCCCTACTCACTGAGCTATGGGCGCCACCCTCTCTCTTTCTTTTTTGAGAGAGAGTCTTGCTTTGTTGCCTTAGCTAGAGTGCAGTAACATCATCATAGCTCAATGCAACCTTAAACTCTTGGGCTTGAGCAACCCTCCTGCCTTAGCATCGCAAGTATCTGGGACTCCAGACTCCTGACACCACATCCAGCTACTTTAGCTACTTTTTCTATTTTTAGTAGAGACGGGGTCTCACTCTTGCTCAGGCTGATCTTGAGCTCCTGAGCTCAAGGAGTTCTCCC